GGCAACTGTTGTGAAAACTGGAAAGCTTTTTGATGTCCTTTTCGGTCATTCTCCAGCATTCTGACCCATATAAAAGCACTGCTATAGTATACATAGCTATCATATAGTCTAATTTTCTACAGACCTGATTGAGGGTGTAAATGGGCTAACCCATATGACGATTAACGATAGAATTTTTTTCACGAAAAATGTTTTATTTTATTTGACGCAAATGGTAACTTATAAATACGATTTAAAGAATGACAATAAAATAAACAAACTCATGTGACGTCTACCGTACATACCGTAGCGAACGAAGAGGAATTTAAAGCATGACGAGCTGAAAGACCACCACAACCCTCTTGACCACTGGCGTAGCTAGGAAATTTTTGAAGTGTACGCCCGAACCTCGGCAAGGGGGTATAGAGTCCCCAGCGGGTCCAAGGCAGAGTGGGTTCGAATGGGAAAAAGCCCATCCCGTAAGCTCAGTCGTTGTGGAGAAAGATATTTTTGTCATTAAACGCTCACCAATAGCAACTTCTTCTATAGGATATCGACTCTATTTGCAGGGACATCTCATTAAATATATATGCGTTTATTTTTTTAAATAAATTATCTGTTTAAAATTTATTTATATATGTTAAACTAAAATGAAAATGAAATGAGAACGAATAGAAACACTGTATACATCGGTCTTGCAAGAAATTAAAAACTTTATAACTTAAAATTGATAAAACTCCCTGAAAAGACATCAGTTAGACTATCTTCAGTTTAAAATGTGTACTTGTTATAATAAAAGTCTTTATGGTTTATCATTTTAAGGAGCGATGGATAGAGGTTTCTATATCGCCTGTAGTTTTATGTGATTTTAAAATCTATAATTTATAATTTAAGATTTAATTTTCAAAATCCGGCGCGGGAAGTTTGCGTTGTTTTACAGGACATTTGCGCTTAAGTTAGATGGACATTTGCGCTTTTTAAAAAGGACATTTGCGCTTTTCCTACTTTCGCAACGATCTACTTTTTACAGGAGTCGAAAGATTTATCAGATAAAACTTGTTTTACCATATAAAGACTTTTTTTAAATATATATAATCTGGCGATACTTGTATTCAGTTTTATATATATATACCAAAATACATTCAGCAGTTCATAGAGCTTCATGTATATAACTGTTGTAATGTCTGCTTGAGTATATATATATATATATATTCATAGTTAGCTTAATTATATATTCCATAGATAGATATACAATGCATCATTTGTGTATAATCTTGTCTATCTGTAAATGACCAAGTATATCTGCGTTTTATAGTAGCATAATACAACTCATGACAAAATATTGAGTATTGGAATACTAAAGTCAGTCTGTTGTTACACCCACTAGACAAAATCGTCTAACTCCGGTTGTTCTTAATGACAGTAAGGGATATTGGGTGAGCAAACATTGCACTCTCCTTAGAGAAAACACAACCAAGGGGTGTTTCAAGTCGGGATATACTTCAACACAAGAACTTGATTGGTTATGTAACAATCTAGATTCCAAGATAAGACATCTTGACACATAGCTATCTATATATATACAGTGCAGGCGGTTTTGTCACGATATCCCAATAACATGAGTTCGAATCCCGGCGAGGGAAGAACAAAAATTTGTATCCGCAAATTTGCAGATTTAAAATGGTTGTGCTGATATTTAGAGTAATTATGAATATAATATGTGTTTTCAGCCGTGTATCACCTTCACTGGTGATCCAATGGATGGATCTTTCGTAGAGTTGTCACTTGTTTAGACGTACTTATCAAATAATTATTTCTGTGACTGCATCTTACGATCCTTTACGACAGATAATTTAGCTAATCTGCAATCAATTCCATCTTCATGCCTAATACATCATGTACTGTGTTACAACTCTAGATTCTACTGACGAGGAAAGGTAACACTAGGCCACCGAAAGCTGAATTTTTTAGTTCAGTCCAGGTGGCCGAGTGGTCTAGAGCGCTGGACACAGTGCAGGCGGTGTTGTCACGATATCCCAATAGCATGAGTTCGAATCCCGGCGAGGGAAGAACAAAAAATTTGCTTCCGCAAATTTGCAAATTTAACATTGTTGTGCTGATATTTATAGTAATTATATCTATCTATATATTTAAATCCCGAAAATTGCTTCGAACGCATGAAATTTATAAAGTGTTTTCAAAACTTTTACAGTACTTAATTGTTGAGACCGCTGCTTGTGGACAATCAGTCCCCGAGGGTATCATCAGTAGTTAATACTTCGGAACTGACATTAAATTGTCCGTTTAGAAAATTACAAATTATAAAAAAGTTAAGGGTTCAACTCCCTAAGTCAAAATTGATCTTAGATGGATTTGGCTATTATTCTAAAGCGCTTTTTTTGTCATATAGCTCTTCAACTGTTTTAAAAGTTCTTATACATCCTTGGCTTTCAAATATTCGGCGTTGAGCGTTCCTGATGAAGGTAAATCCAGAAAAGCGCTTCGGACACATGAAATTTATAAAGTGTTGTTTTCATTTTTTACAGCAATGGGTCGATACCGCTGCTGGCGGACTATCAATGCCCGATGGTATCATCAGCTCAGTACATTCGTCACAACTCGGCCGATTCCGTACCTTCATCTAGAAGGAGAGTAGCGGATTCACCCGAGGATTGCCGATTGCAGCTCAGTAGTCAGTGCTTCGGTAAATCGGGACGTACTTCAACACAAGGAATTGATTGGTTACGTAATCTGGATTCCAAGATTGGACATCATGACAACATATAATTTTTAAAACATTCGTACAGCCAGTTCTAACTTATGGACTCGAAATCTTTTATTCCAAAAGGCGAATCACTAAGGACGCTTAATCTGTTTCATACGAAATTAATAAAACAGCTATCTTTATCTACTAATACAGCAGACCCAGCCATATGTAGATTCTTCAGCACAATACCTTGTGAAGCTAAAATACATATAAATATTTGGACACTGTACTAATCCGGTCCATTCACTTGATCTGACAAAAACATCCACTGAATGGAGATTAACAGAAAGGCAGCTAAAACTGAAATTTGTCAACAGTAATAGTTGGTTAATTAATATAAAAAAGCTCTCTCTGCAATAAAGGATAGACAATATAGTTTTTTTTGGACAATCTACTAACTAAAACTATTATAGATGGAAGTCTTTTATACCCAAAAGTGTGCATTACATGACCAACAAGATTCTAGACGATTTAAAGATGTACACAACTCTTCAATATATGAACTGCCAATATACCATCGGGGAAAATACACCCATTGATTACCACAAGGACAGAAACAATAGAAAATAGACTCATCATAGATACATGGATTGAAATTTTGAACGCCAGACACGCGTTTCGTCTACAAAGGACTCATAAGTGACGCTCGAATAAAAAAAGTTAAAAAGGCCAAATAAAGTACGAAGTTGAAGAGCATGGCGAACCGGCCAAAATTCCTAAAAGTTTTGCCAAATACAGCTAATGTAATCTATTCATGGGGTAGTAAATCCTTAGAATATAGAAACATTAAAAGTTTTATGAACAGTTAATTTACAATTATGACCATATCGATGATAATTTTAGTCAACACAGAAGTGCTGACTATTGGACTGGCTGAAAAACTCCATCAGCAGTGGAATCTACCAAGTGGTTGTAAATAAACTCAACATAGATGCAAGGATTGCAGTTTTGTACGCCAGACGCAGATATATTGTAAGGATTCTTACACGAATCAAAAGTGCAAAAGGGACATATATTTTTCAATATAAACGAGCGGCATTCAAAAAGAATAGAGTCAGTCCAACATGTAAGCTATGTAACAAAAGTCCTCACATTTTATCGCATTTTCTGCTTAATTGTGAATCCCTTGAAACAGTAAGGAAAAGATTTATGCAGATTATAGTTGATAGAGGTAGTGAACTGTTCGTAAAATTCTTCATTTGAGATAGTGTAAATTAAGTACATTTGATGGTTAATCCTTTCTATTATGCCATAAATAAACAAAATACTCAGTAATCTTAATCATATTATTGGTGACCAGCTAGAAGTAGTTTGAGGACAGCTTATTAACAATCTGTAGTTGAATCGATATGAACTACATACATACCAAACAACACAAATGTGATAAGAAAAAAGTCATCACGTTGGTAAATTGTATGTTAATTAAGCTTGTAATTATTATCTTAGGATACTGAGGGTCAGGTTGCTGATATGTCCACAGGTATCATCAGTATAAATCATATAGCAGGACATTTGAACGGATGCCTATCGACCATTACTAGAAGCAAATTGCATGGGTATATACGGATTGCAAGACAAAGTTAATTTTATCTTTTTCTTCTGAAATTATTTATAAATTGTATATAAATGGTGGTGGGATAGAAGAATTAGTTTTATTGATACAGTACAATTGTAAGGTGTTTTGGACATATTCTCAACTTAATAATTCGTGTGGTCAAGGATATCATTTTATTCAACTCCTTGGAGGTGTGCCTACATTTGCAGAATTATACAGATACGTTTGAAACCACAATGATAAAATAGAATTATTGCCCTTTGTTGTTGTACTTCAGAATATTTCGAAATAAGGACTGGTGTGAATGTTGAACAGGTAGAATGAATGTCAACATGTAATGTTATATGGTATGTTATTATATAAATGAATACACAAACAAATTACCTTCTTCTTACAATTAAATACTTCTTTGTAATTTATATCAATACATAGATCATGTAGATTGTCACGGTATAATGTATTAATAGATCAGCTATTTATAAATATAGTAATACTATGCATATTACACAATACCGAAACACAGGAGCTTGGGTACAGGATTTCTACGTTGTATTTTTTTCGTTTGCACTCGATGTTAATTTTTTGTCTTTTTGTATTCAGCATACTTAAGGTTTATCATAAAGTATCGACATCGGAATTCATAGACGGATCCAGGGGGGGGGGGGGGGGGGGGGGGGCCTGGGGGGGGGCCCGCCCCCCCCCCCTTTTGTGGGAAAAATTTCGGTTGATTATATAGGGAATCACTGAAGCGTGACTGGAGCGGGCCACCCTCTTAGGTCAGTCAGCGGGCCCCCCTTACAAAAAGTTCTGGATCCGCCACAGACTGGGAATGAACACTTACAACGTACTAAATTAAAGGTAGGAGTGAGCCGCTTGAATAAACCACTTTTTAAAGCTTCACTAGTTCATGTAGTTATGTGTGATAATGGCGAGATATTTAGAAAAAATATATGTTGAGGTTGCTGATTAAATCAAGTATCTGAAACTATAGATCATAACCAGATGTAAGTATTTATTAAACATGTGATGAAATTCATAGTCGTTAACATGGTTAATGCATCAGATATTTGCACTAAATATCGTAATATAGGATCATATAGCAACAAGTTTATTATTTCATAAAATATAGGATATGTTCAAATGAATAAATATGGTGGGGTATTTGATAACTCAGCTGCTCACCCCTACCACAAAAATGATTGATTGTTTGATGTTTGTTTAACGTCCCGTGGAAAAAATTTCATGCATATTGAGGACAACACAATGATCATGATTGAAGTATACCTCTCTCCACATGAATTGTTAGGAAACTAATATTAACCTTACACCTATTCCTCTGACGACAGGTAAACTTTTGAAAATATGTAATATCCATGCAGGTCATCAATGATCACAGTTATTTACCTATAATATAATGTTTTTACCTATATTTATATCAATGATTTGTTACATTATTTATAGTCTGTTCAGTAAAATAGAATTGTCGGGTGCCCATAATGTATTGTGTGAAAAATTAAAGAGTAATGGGTAAAATAGTAGAACTTTACACATTATCCTGAAAGTGTAAACCATTTTATGATCTGCAACATAACGTATTGTAGATGATATTATACTATTTTCGGGGGCGGGCCGTGGGGGGGGGGGGGGGTGGGGGGGTGGGGGGGGGGGGGGGTGGGGACGGAGGTCCGTTGATGACGAGTAAACCTCGGGGACTTTTTCAATCCTTTTGTGGAAGGGATAATCAGTTGAGGCATCCAGTACACACCCTTTTCATATATTTTGAATATTTAGAAATGCATACTCAATCATACATATTTATGACATATCAGACCTATAGCTAAGTTAAAATAGATTTGACAAATATCGGATGCAATTTTATCAAATGTTGGATAATAGTAACATCTGATTCAAGAGATTTTGATACTTATGACATAATCAGCTATGCTCACAATACAGTTCATTAGACATTTAAAGAATCACAAAGTAATGGTCGAATAAAAGGGTACAAAATGATTTTTTAAAACATGATATCTCAGGAATGAAAAGATAAATTTACGCAGTTCGACACATTAGTACATCTAACATAAACAGTACGTACAAATATAGATAGACAAATCGATTATTTTCAATCATGAAGCTTTGAAATCCAAAATAAATATTATATAAGACTACCAGAGAGTGGGTCCTCAATGCTCTTCAACTTTTTCTTTTGGCCTTTTTAACTTTTTTGATTGGTGCGTCACTGAGTCTTTTGTAGATGAAATGCGCGTCTGGCGTACAAATCTTAATTCTGGTATCTATGATGAATTTATTTTCTAAAAAAGTTTGGATAACAGTTATGCTATTGATAGATACATCAAATTGAAACGGTAAAAAATCATCATAGATATAACCCGGAAGATTTGGACAAATGTGAATTAGAAATAAATCAAATTCTGATTATATATTTTAAGTGATACAGTGACAATTTGTTAATCCGTTTATCTAACCTTTTACATTTCTTTGTGTTTAATTTATTCTATTGTTAAAAAGATGTTTGTCGTAATGGATACCTTCTAGACGATAAGAAGTTAATCCGTTGGACACTAATCCGTTTCTATAGATACTGTTTTTATATATACTTTTGTATGTTATTTTGAAGTCAGTTTAGATCTTAGGTCTGGTACTGTCCGGACCTTGCTAATAAAGTTTAAAGAATTTGGTATAATCAATTCCGTCTTTGAGTTACTCCTGGTTATACAGATACCACGATTAAAAGGAAGGCTCATTAAATGTCATGGACACTGTTCCCTTGACTTTTTTTTATTTTGGAAATCAAAGTTACTTTTGAGGTTCTCCGCACCTGAGACATATACTATATGTCACTGTTCGTAGATATAAGAAAAAGAACAGTTGCCGGGATACCGTTTCAAAAGCCTAACTGTTATCCATTTTTTTTTTTGCATAGAGTAACGTAAGATTTAGATTCAGATGACTGATTAAGCAGTGTCGGAATACTTTGTCTTCGATATGTACGGATTACAGCTTGATTTCTCAGATTGGCACTTTCGAGAATAAATGCATGGTCAAGGACTACACATAGGTTTTCCTATTTTTGCAAACCGGAGATGAAACATGTGAGTTGTGAAGTCCCAACTCTATACCAATTTTAAACGACATTGAAAAATCAAGATAAGTGTCTAACGGTCAATTATAGCGATACGTCTCAGATCTCGATCTTGATCTTGATAAGAATACGGTGATACATCCAAGGATATCAATACACCGCGCGTGCGTCAAGTAATTTATTTAAGTGGGGCCCCCTTACAATTTCACTAAAGGTTTTAGCTGGTTCTTCTGCTGTCTGAATTTTGATGAAAATATCTGGTGGTAGTTGGTTCAAGTCTTTAATGGTATTTGGTATGAAACTGTATTTTAATGTGTCCGATTTTGTTTGAAGTCTGAGGAAATGTTGGCTATGCATGTTCTTGGTTGTCCTTGATGGTTTTTTCAGTTGGTCAGATGGCAAGTTTGCTTGACCGTGTATACTTTTGCAGAACAGGATCAGTCTGTTTCGTGTACGGCGGTATTTTAGTGATGGTAATTGCAGTTGGTCTAAAATTGCTGTCATACTTCTTGGTTCGTAGTTGTAGTTTGATGTTATGAACCTAGCCGCTCTTTTCTGTACATTTTCCAGTTGGTCTTGAAGATATAGTTGTTGTGGGTCCCAGGCAGTGCTTGCATATTCTAGGACAGGTCGCATCAGTCCTTTATATGCCTGCAGTTTAACTTCAACTGGACATGCTGATAGGTTTCTTTTTAGTAAACCTTATGTCCTATAAGATTTGTTGCATATCTCCTCTATGTGCTTTCCCAGTGTAGGTCATTTTGATTACTCCTAGATATTTAATAGATGTTAAAAAATTGGAGTTCCGTATTTTTGAGAGTGTATTTAAATGATGTTATTTTCTTCTTGCGACTCGATGTCATCATGTTGCATTTAATTGGTTGGAATCTCATACCCCAATTAGTCGGCCAGTTACCAAGAGTATCTATATCGTTCTGTAGTTCTGCACAGTCATCTTCATTTTTTATTTCTCTGTAGCATACACAGTCGTCTGCGAACAGCCTTATTTCTGATGTTACATTTTCTGCTATGTCATTGATATGGAATAGAACTAGGATGGGACCAAGAACCGTTCCTTGAGGTACTCCTGATAGGACTGTCGATGTTTTGGACTTAATCCCATTCACTACCACACACTGAGATCTTGTAGATAGGAAGGCGTCAATCCAATTTTCAAGATGTTTTTCGGCACGCATTATTTGTTAAGTTTACTTTTTTAATAGCTCGTGCGGTACGGTGTCAAATGCTTCTTCAAAATCCAAAATAAATATATCAGTTTGTTTCCTGTTGTCAATGGCAGTTGCCCAGTCGTGTATGACGTTAATTAGTTGTGTCTTCCTCTAAATGCATTTTGTCGGCTATTTAGGATGTTGTAATCTTCAAAGTGTTGCATTAGGTTGGAGCAAATGACAAGTTCTAGTAACATGTTAGAGATACTGGTCTGTAATTACTTGGAATGGTTCTGTCGTTCTTCTTGAATAGCGGGCATATATTAGCACTCTTCCATTCATCTGGAATGGTTCCTCTGTGGATGGATTATAAGAAAAAGTGAGCCTTTACCTCTGATATGTTAGGTGCCAATTCTTTCAGTACTCGGGGGTGTATACCATCAGGGCCCATCTCTTTTGACGCATTAACGTTTTTAAGTATCTTCTCGACTCCTTTGGTTGTTACTGTGATGTTTCTCATTTTGTCTGCATGAGGAGTTTGGTATTGAATGGATGCATATTCCGTCTTGGTATAAACGCTTGTAAATTGCGTATTAAATGCCTCCGCTTTCTGTTGGTCTGTATCGGCGGTCTTATTATCTTGAGTTTTAAGTGGTGGTATTCCCTGTTTGTCTGCCTTCTGGTTGTTAATATATTTCCAAAATGGTTTAGAATCCTTTTTCATATCGTCTATTAAGTTGTCGACGGAGTTGTTGTGGGCTGTTTCAATTTCCTTGTTAATTGTGCGTCTTAATTCTTGCCATTTTGGTTTTATTCTCATGCTATTGTTTTTTTTATAGTTGGCGTGTGTTCTGTTCTTTCGTTTTATCATGGCCTTGATATTATTATTTATCCATGGTATTGACTGTTTTTATTTTGATGTTTTAGTTGGTACATTGATTTTGGTGGTTCCTAGTATAAATTCTTTTATCATGTTCCAGTTTTCTTCTACATTCCTGTTGTTTTGATGGCCATTGAAGTATCTGTCTCTGGTGAAGTCCCTTGAGTCTTCTCTCATCTGATTGTAATTTCCCTTTGAGTATTGGAAGAAGGTCCTTTCTTGTCTTATTTTGCTTGGAATTGTGCATCTCAGAGTACCCATGACAATGTCGTGGTCGCTAAACCGATCAGGTGAGTGGATATCTGTGAACTGCTCTGGTAAGGTTGTAATTAAAAGGTCTAGTGTATTACTTTCCCTGGTTGGAAACAGGACGAGTTGTTCAGCGCTAGCCTCATTTAGTATATCTATTAATGATTGGCCGTCACTACCGTTTAGACATATGTTGGTATCTTTATTTAACTTTGTCTGCCAATTTATTTTACGGTAATTAAAATCACCCCCAAGACGTGAATGCATGGTTGTTTGCTTGCTTTCCCTGATTTCTTGATTTTATCCATTTGGTCCTTTAGTAGTTGTGTTTGATCCAAAGGGACATCAGGTGCTCTGTACCAGCTTCCTATATAATGATATTTTCCTTGCAAGACGATTTTGCTACAAATAGATTCTGATCCATTTTCGAGGATTTTCACAGGTGCTGAGTCAAGGTGTGTTTTGATGAGTAACAATGTGCCTCCCCCATTGCCCGTTCTGTCGTTGCGGTATATATCATAGCCCAATGTGTCTGGAATCAATTCATTGGTTGTAATGCTGTTGTCGATTTTGGTCTCTTGCAGCGCTACTATGTCGAGGTTTTCAGTTTGTAAATATGCCTGCAGTTCAAGTTTTTTCCCTCTTAAACCGTTGATGTTGATGGAAACCGTTCTGATCTTACTGGTATAAATGTGTCTGCTTTTATCTGAAGTACATTTTGAACTACTAAGTGTCTCTTTGGTGTTTGTAAGAGTATCAAAGGTATTGTTGGTTTCTATGCCTGATGAAGTACTTGAGTAGGATGTTGATAAGTTTTTTCATCACATAATGGGCAAATCCATGTACAATTTGTTGCTTGTATGTTTTTATATTCATCGTTTGACACTATTGCACAGGAGTCCTGAATCCATGGTTTACATCTGTCGCATTCGATTGCTGGGTCACAGTTATGTATGTTGCAAGAGCAAATTCCGCATGGTGCAACGCAGTTTTGGCAGAACCATTGATTAGTTGTATTCTGTAATTTAGCGTACGTTGTATTGTCAACAGATGTACATCGTCTGTGGATCCATAAATCACATGCATCGCAGTGTATTGCTTTGTCATTTCTTTTGACTAATTTACGACATATTCCACAACTGTTTTAAACAGGACCTGGGTTTTGTTCAATTCCTGATATTATCAGTAGAATACGAATTAAAACATGTAAAAGGTGGGATGGTGGTTTTTGTATGATCGCGATGTTCCAGTGTTTTACTACCATTGTGTGTGGTGCTAAGGTAAAGATGTACATACCTTTGTATCTGCAAAACAGTGGCAATCACAGACCTTTTTGTAGGGTGATCTTGGAGTGACGATGTTCCTGTGTCTTCATCCATCCATTTTCCACAGAGTAACAAAACCATAGCTATACCCATTAGGTATTGGGGATTCATGTTGTATTTCAAGATATGTCTTCTTGTCTTCCGACTCTGATAAGATAAACTCACCTAAACAGTCGGAAAACAGTTCTATTTTATCCTGACTGCACAATAATAAGTCCGAACGAAGGTAAAATTATGGTTGGCACAGTGTAAAACTTCCAGTAAAAATACATGTATATCCAGTGAATAAAATATTTGGTTCCACAATGTAATACATGTGTGTATGTAAAAGTTCGTAAAATTTGGTAGTCCAGGTAAACAATGGCTAAAAATGGCGGTTTCCCGGCAAAATGTCAATAAAAATAAAATTCCAGTAAACGGCTATAATACATACATGTAAGATCCAGCTAAATTATGATTCAAACTATAGGGGTTAATCAAGATAAGAATAAAGATGTAAAATAATTCAAAATAAATATAAAAACAGTCAAAAATTGACTAAAAAAACTAAACATTTTGCCAAGTAAAAATTTTCGTGTCTAATTCGCTTGACGCATGCGCATACTAAACAGGTAGACTCATAAAGGCACTGTGTGTCTCCTATCCACTAGTGGAATCGACATCCATATACAGTGGTGGATCCGGGTACGGGCCTAGAGAGTATACCTTGGTCAGAAAAAAATATCATTGTAGGGGCAAAAATCATCAATTGTTTTGCCTTGATTTGCTCGGCGCTTGTGTTACCATAATTGACAACTATTCTCCTTTTCTCCTTTTTTATGAAATAGGTTTTTGTTTTGTTATGATAAGAATTGTTAAACTAGAAACAATCTGTTTGAATATAACCAGCTTGATATGGGCCATGATATTGAAGTCAACTTTGAATTTGATAATGTATTAACCAAGAACTTGTGCAACAAGGAGGAGGGGGTATGGGGGTATCCATCATACATAAGTCCTTACGAAAAGCTGAAATTACAAGTAGGGCATGACAGTTGGGACACGATAATTTTATAAAGAAAACAAAATATTGGATGTAACACATATTTTTTTATTTCATATTACAGATGTTTATTGTGGTTTCAACAGGATATAACAGATGTCAAGTAATAGGAGAAACTGTTGCGGAAAGTGCTTTGATTTTTTTGGATCAATTATCTGCCCAAGTCAAATACTAGAAGAACGGAAAACTAATATTACTAATACAAACAGAGTCTATATTCTTTGGATTGTACTGATAGCTATATTTTTGACCGCTGGTTTAGTACAGCTCCTTCATAAAAACAAACCATTTAACACTATACCAGCCCAGGATCAAATGTACTATGTTGACTGGTTTTCTAATAAGTTCTGCAGTGGTGTTAATATAACCAGTGAATATCCAGTCAGAGTGAATGCCTATCTTTTACCTAAACAAGCATCTAGTAAGGCAGTATGTCAACAGTCTACAGTTACAATTACTCGAATTAACAAAACACCTGTTCCGGGATATGGTATTTTCTACCTAAAAGTGTCCTTAAAGCAAGGAGACAGGATTTCTGGAAAAATTTGTGCACCTGCAATTGAAAAGATATATATATTTACAAGGTTAATGGACTTTAAGTCGTGTATTCTGACGGATTCCTGGACTAGATGTGGGATAAATGGGCCAACTCGTTACGTCATAGATTCGTCATGTACAAATTACAATACTTTTGACAAAGCTTTTAAATTACCACCTAAAACAATGAAACAATCTGGAGATTTGTATTTCGTTTTCTACAATAAGCTTGCAACCATATCTTTTGTGTCTGCCATTTTTACAAAACCATTACCAAACTTAAAACTACTTAATAGAGCCCAGAGAACTTGTCTGGACAAGACACTTTGCCAGATTGACTACGGTTCCACTTATGATTCGTATGCAGTATGCTTTGAGGCCGTTCGCAAAAGTCCGTTATCATGGCACCCAGATGTTGATAACAATGTGAGAGTAGCCTGCAGACGTCGTCAATGGTTGTATGTTGTACTATTTTTTGTCGTTCCTTTCATTATAGGAATATTAGGTAGTGTGCTAATCTGTATATGTTGCAAAAAGGATTCATCAGTTGTTGATCATCATCAAAGGGATTCTGCAGATATACGCCTTTCAGATAGACATATTGAACGTTATGCGGTAACGAACAATAACAACCGATTCTCAAATACACATGATAATTATAGAAATACATTTAACAGACAGGAAGTAACAAATGATACCAATCTAGGTATTACAGATCATGAAACTATAGATCTGGACAGGGAATCAGTTGATCTACACGTAAATCATTTACCATGTTTACATGACCCACCCCCATCTTACGATGATGCAATGAAAGGTCAACCTGTGTAGCAATTTACCCATTTACCGCAGGAAATAAAATAAGCATGTGTAACAGATGGGAATAAATGATCAGTCCGGGAAAATTTTCTACTGCCCCCTCCTCCAGAATATCAAATGGTTGTCCCCTATGCCGCGTGACCGTTATATTTCTGAAATGATGAATTTTATACTGTAAAACATTAATAGGTAGGGCAGAAAGCTAATGCAGAGACATATATACGTGTATATATGTCTCTGGCTAATGATAACAACTGTTGAGTATTTTCCTTCCATACTTGTAAAATTAAACCTGTCGTTTCATGTCAGAAGTTACAGTATTTAATAATCTACTTACATTGTAAATGTTCTATAATAACAAATTTGTTTACAAACGAATTATTAAAGGAGATTATAAAAGGGGTAGGAGGATTTTGAAAAAGAATAACTTGGCCAGTTACGAACTAAAATTAATGCAAAATACAGGATAAAAATGAATATTCTGCAATACAAAATCGGGAAACAAATGTGTACAAAAGTGAAAATAGATTTTCAAGCATTGAATTTGTAGATGCGTGGTTCGGTTTTTAATGTGTAATACGTTCAAGATTGTTTTAGTAAAATAAGAATATATTGATAAGATCATTTCACAACATGATATTGATGACAGATATCTGTTATCGGAAGTATTTACTGTTTCCGTTTTTGATATTGGTGTTGTTTTGTACACTTAGTAGGCGTATATATATATACAATTACACCTTTCTTAATTTCTTCGTTGATAAATTTTGAAATTATAAAGAAACTCCCTCCTAGTTTCACTTCCCTCTTTAACATTTTGCAGACATTTTGTTTTGGGCGGGGTTGAGTGTTCCTGGTGAAGATAAACCTGGGAACAGTATATCTAACGGGAAATGAATCTGATAGGCTTTTCGGTATAAAATTGATACAATCTCGGACTCCACGAGACTTCGCAAGATTTATGGATTCTCATATCCAACTATAGCAGTCATCACGTGACATTGGCGACGTCACACATCACCCGTATCATGCCCAAGTAAAATGTATAGAAATGCACAGGGGCTTTCAGGAATCGATAAAATAAATTATTTTAAGTTCATGATAAAAAAAGTGTGGAAATATATAGTAATTCCTCATATATTTAGAAATATATTTATGCCTTTTGGAAAAGTTTAAATTTTGGTCTTCTCCCTTCCAAATGCTTTTGAAAATTTGTCTTGTTGCCTCGATAATTAACACTGTTAAATCATCCAACTCCGATAAATATTGGATTTTCTGTCGTGTTAAACCTAAAATTGCGATTTAAACAAAACAGATGGAAAAATTGTGGAAATATGTGCTTATTACTATATTCATAAATACTTGAAATATCGTACATGCAATAGTTTAATTTTTTATTACGTCCCTTCCAAATTGATTTGAAAATTAGCTATTTTCAGAAAATCGGGTATTATTTTTCAAGATGGCGACCACATTGACAGCGTGGGCCGACTTGGTAAAAATATATTTTGTAAGATTGTTACAATGAAAATCAAATAACTGTTGGATGCTCGCGTTTTCAGTCATTGTCTTACCTTAAAGCAGCGTAGAATCAAACATTGGTTCCTTTTGATAAAGCTGATACATGCTGTTGTTTTTTTATAAAAATTAAAAAAAATGGCGACCAAATAATTTTCAAACGTAGACGATGTTCGACACTTATTTTGTCCATGCAAATAATTCAATTTAATTTCACTGTTTATATTGCAATTAAATATGAAACGTTATTGTCACTATAATGATAGCCAAGGACATAGCTAGACTAAGGAGATATTAAGTCATAACATCAACGTAATCAAAGAAAACATACATGGCACCTAATCACGATGTAAGTTTTGACAATACCTATGTAGATGTATGTTTTGACAATACCTATGTAGATGTATGTTTTGACAATACCTATGTAGATGTATGTTTTGACAATACCTATGTTGATTAGTGTTGTCAGATTCTCAATGAAATTCATTACGATATTATTTTATATTTATAAAAGAAGACCTCGAATGGATATTAACCGAGGTGAAATAACTATATTTTTCAATTTTCTTTAAACCATTCATCGGGTAACTAGTAAATTTTACATAATCCTAATTAAAGCAGTAACATGCAGAGTTATCGAACGTAATTATGACTGGAATAGTTGCATATGGGTGGCGTCTGACTGAAAAACTATCGGAATTGCTCAAGAAATCAACCACGTAATGCTAATCGTAAATAAATACAAGTTTTATCATAAAGTAGATATATTTTGTCATATAAAATTACCAAAATAAGAAAGAGAACCACCACGTTCATTAAGTTTTATTTTCATTCATAAGCAGAATATGTTGTTTCTAAGCTCCTACGTGAATTTCGGCCAACCTTGTTTCGGCCAAACATACAAGATATGGTTATCAGAAAGAAGGCATTATACCCATCATTGTACCAGGATTTCGGCTGGCACTTCAACATGATAATTATCTATTAGACCCCCCCCCCCCCCCCAGAAAAAAGTATACATACAAAAACTCAAAAATCATAGGAATTCCTTAATACGAAACTAAAACTTAAATTTTGAAACTCAGCATATGGGGAATATACTTACTGATGAATATTTGATAATGAAAAGAAAACATATTTTAAACAAAGACCATTCATATGGTCGGTACAGACTGTAGTCCCCCGCCCCCAAATAAAATGAATGATATATTACGTCTTTGTTCAAATCTGCTGACCATGTACAGACTCGATATTGGGCCTCTACTTTTAAACCACAATAATCTCACACAAAGTATTGCCACTTGTTGATGTACAGAATGATATTTCCAAATATGTGTGAATATTTTACAGATAGAATGAATGTCATCATGTTATCTTATAGTATATTATTATAGTAATAAAGACACACACTACTTTTTCTTACCATTACTTACTTCTTTGTTATCAAGTTACATTAGTATATATCAGATTGTATATATAAAGATAGTCATGGTAATAAACTAAGAACGTATAGCAAAGTTAAAAATAATTACGAATTAGAAAAATATCTCCTACTGGACCTTAACAAAAATGTTATTTCTAAAATGGTAAAAATTAGAATTAGTAATAGCAAATTACTAATAGAAGTTGGTAGATATACTAGAACACCTTTAGAACAGAGAATTTGTCCCCTTTGCAAGGATGGAATTGAAGATGAATTCCATTTCCTCATTAAATGTAAAGCGTTAGAATTTAATAGAAATATAATCTTTTGTAATTTAAGTGATATAGTTCCATCTTTTGTTAATATGTCTGAACAAGATAAATTTAGTTTCATTTTGAAAAGTAATGATACTGACATTTGAACTGTATGTGTAGCTGGAATAAGCGATATGTATGATTCGAACATTCATTTAAAGCAAACATAATGTTAAGAACTGTTGTAGTATTAAAGCTTATTGTAATAGCTTGAAGAGATAATATAGTATGAATAACACCTCCACGCAATGTAGATATAAAATATGTGTCGCTTATCATTGAGAAAACATATCTCTGTATATTTGTTTTTTATACGACCGCAAAAAAATTTTTGTGGTCGTATATTGGTATGACGTTGGCGTCGTCGTCGTCGTTGTCGTTGTCGTCGTCGTCCAGCGTCGTCCGAAGACACATTGGTTTTCGCACTCTAACTTTAGTTTAAGTGAATGGATCTTTATGATATTTTACCACAAGGTTCAATACCACAAAAGGAAGGTTGGGATTGATTTTGGGGGTTATGGTACCAACAGTAAAGGAATTAGGGGCCAAAAAGGGGCCAAAAATAAGCATTTTTGTAACTTCCAGACATAACTTGTGTGTTAGTGTATGGATCTCTCTGACATTGTGCCACAAGGTTCCATATCACTAAAGGAATGCTGGGATTGATTTTGGGGGTAATTGCCTCAAAATTTTAGGAATAAGGGGCCAAAAAAGGGGCAAAAAACAAGCATTTTTCTAGTTTCATGACTATAACTTGTGTGTAAGTGTATGGATCTTTCTGAAATTGTACTACAAGGTTCCATATCACAAAGGGAAAGCTGGAATTGAGTTTGAGGGTAATTGCCGAAACGTTTAGGAATTGGGGGCCAAAAAGGGGCCAAAAACACATTTTTCTAGTTTCCAGACAATAACTTGTGTTCAAGTGTATGGATCTCTCTGAAATTGTACTGCAAGGTACCATACCACAAAGGAAAGCCTGGGATTGATGATGGGGGTGATTGCCTCAATATTTTAGGAATTAGGGGCCAAAGGGGGCCAAAAACAAGCATTTTTCAAGTTTCAGGACAATAAATTGTGTGTAAGTGTATGGATCTTTCTGAAATTGTACTACAAGGTTCCATATCACAAAGGGAAAGCTGGGTTTGAGTTTGGGGGTAATTGCCCTAAACGTTTAGGAATTTGGGGCCAAAAAGGGGCCAAAAAACACATTTTTCTAGTTTCCAGACAATAACTTGTGTTCAAGTGTATGGATCTCTCTGAAATTGTACTGCAAGGTACCATACCAGAAAGGGAAAGCTGGGATTGAGTTTGGGGTGATGAATCATAAGGGGGTTCAAAAAATTTGGGGGAGATTTATTTTTTTTTCCTTTTTTTTTTCTTTTTTTCCTTTTTTGTTTCTTTTAAAATTTTCCATTTTAAGTTGGTTATTTTTGATTTATATTTAAAATCAAATAATAATGATATGTTAGGAGATACACACCAAACAGGATGTGTAAATTATTATATAATAAGTATTGTGCAATAGCAAGAAATTTTCAATTGTACAGTATTGCGCAATAGCAAGAAATCTTCAATTGCACAGTATTGCGCAATAGCAAGAAATATCCAATAGCACAATATTGCGCAATAGCAAGAAATTGTCAATTGTACAGTATTGCGCAATAGCAAGAAATATTTAGTAGCACAAGATTGTGCAAAAGAAGATACTTCCTATAAATTGCTTATTTCTTGACCAATTTCAATGGGGTTTTATTCTTGATTTCATGGGGTTCTTTAATATGCTGAATCTAACCGTGTATTTAGTTTTTGGATTTTGGGCCCCGTTTTTAAATTGGTCCACATTGAGGTCCAAAGGGTCCAAAATTAAACTTTGTTTGATTTCATCAAAAATTGAATTCTTGGGGTTCTTTGATATGCTGAATCTAACCATGTATTTAGATTTTGGATATTGGACCATAATAGGTGAATGTCCAATTAAAATTTTTTAAGTTCTTAGACCACATTCATTCTGTGTTAGAAACCTATGCTGTGTCAAATATTTAATCACAATCCAAATGCAAAGCTGTATCAAGCTTGAATGTTGTGTCCATACTTCCCCCAACTGTTCAGGGTTCGACCTCTGCGGTCGTATCAAGCTGCGCCCTGCGGAGCATTTTATTGTTTATTTTTGTCTGTTTTTGTATTTGCATTTTGTAAATGTCAGCTGGTATCATTCCTGTATTGGAATTTACACCAATAAAATTATTTGATTTGATTTGATTTATATTGCTATTTATGAACATAGTAATATGAATATCAAACTGTCGAAGTACTAGTAATCTGCAAATTAAGCAACACACATGCGCATGGGTACCGTATTTCTGAATTGTATTTTTTTTTCTATTTTCATACAACATTACCTAAGGTGCATCATATGGAACTGACAAATCGACACGTTTTGTTCGTAAACTAGGAAACTATTCGATACAGAGTGACACCTCTATACATATCCCTAGGACCACCGGTAAAGAGAGGCGAAATATACCAAAAGGGACATTCAAACTCTTAAATCGAAAATTAACTGAAAACGCCAAAGCAAAATAAAAGAACAGAGTTCCAATATCCCCCGCGTTGCACACATTTTATGAAAGAAATGAAGGATTGAGAGCAAATTCAATGCAATTTTCCCTATAATTAATATTTCCAAGTGGCATAACTTAAAAATAATTAATC